CGGTGTTGTCACACGTCGATTAACCGGTGGGAAAATTTCCTCACCGTCACAACCCTACTTTCAAATACAAATGGAATGCACCATCAGCCCCAACCTTGATCAAATTCAACTGCCAGAAACTTTTAGAATTTAGACTTTGATTAGCTTATTGATTAGGTGTTTTTAGTCACCAACTCTGCAGGAAAGTGGACCTCGAAGGCCAGGGTTGAGAACTCCTGACCTATAAACACAAACATAAAAACACATGGTTTTGTTGAGGAGATGAAGCCATCTATGAGCTCTCACCTGTGACGATGCTCATCGTGAGCTCCCACGCCATGTATGACCTGTCTGCTGCTGTGCCTGGCCTCCTTCTCCGACTCGATGTGTGGTATCAACACGTCCTCCAAACCAAAGTCAAAGCAACAATTGCTTTATGCCGAATTGCCGGTATTTGAAAGTGAAAGTAAAATGCGCACGGCGCTTTTGCAAGCTATTTAAAAGCGAGGAAACGCCCCTGCCCCCATGGTGATACCGGTATTATCGGTGTTGTCACACGTCGATTAACCGGTGGGAAAATTTCCTCACCGTCACAACCCTACTTTCAAATACAAATGGAATGCACCATCAGCCCCAACCTTGATCAAATTCAACTGCCAGAAACTTTTAGAATTTAGACTTTGATTAGCTTATTTCTGGTGTTTTTAGTCACCAACTCTGCAGGAAAGTGGACCTCGAAGGCCAGGTTTGAGAACTCCTGACCTATAAACACAAACATAAAAACACATGGTTTTGTTGAGGAGATGAAGCCATCTATGAGCTCTCACCTGTGACGATGCTCATCGTGAGCTCCCACGCCATGTATGACCTGTCTGCTGCTGTGCCTGGCCTCCTTCTCCGACTCGATGTGTGGTATCAACACGTCCTCCAAACCAAAGTCAAAGCGCTTGTGTTTGGAATTGTCCGGGAGGAAGAAAAATGCTCCGAAGCACAAGGTGATGAAGGCACTGAGGATGAGGAGGAGGATGAACTTCTCTGAGAGCCGCAAGGTGGCTCTGTGATGGGGGAATGAGGAGGCACCTGGCGAGAGGGTAGGTATCCTACGTCCCGATAGTGGCAATAGAGCCGGCGTGGTCATATTTTGATGATGAACTGAAATATGGTGGGATAAGTGTCAAGGTCGTTTTTGTGTAAGCCACACTATTATCTCATTGCGCAGTGTTTGCTGATTTTTACTTTATTTAAACTTTGTGTAATTTATTTATTTTATTTGACATCAAGGTGTAGGCCTATGCGGTGCCTCCAAGCTTTCTTATTCGTTTTGCTAATACACTGCCCCCATGGTGATACCGGTATTATCGGTGTTGTCACACGTCGATTAACCGGTGGGAAAATTTCCTCACCGTCACAACCCTACTTTCAAATACAAATGGAATGCACCATCAGCCCCAACCTTGATCAAATTCAACTGCCAGAAACTTTTAGAATTTAGACTTTGATTAGCTTATTTCTGGTGTTTTTAGTCACCAACTCTGCAGGAAAGTGGACCTCGAAGGCCAGGGTTGAGAACTCCTGACCTATAAACACAAACATAAAAACACATGGTTTTGTTGAGGAGATGAAGCCATCTATGAGCTCTCACCTGTGACGATGCTCATCGTGAGCTCCCACGCCATGTATGACCTGTCTGCTGCTGTGCCTGGCCTCCTTCTCCGACTCGATGTGTGGTATCAACACGTCCTCCAAACCAAAGTCAAAGCGCTTGTGTTTGGAATTGTCCGGGAGGAAGAAAAATGCTCCGAAGCACAAGGTGATGAAGGCACTGAGGATGAGGAGGAGGATGAACTTCTCTGAGAGCCGCAAGGTGGCTCTGTGATGGGGGAATGAGGAGGCACCTGGCGAGAGGGTAGGTATCCTACGTCCCGACAGTGGCAATAGAGCCGGCGTGGTCATATTTTGACGATGAACTGGAATATGGTGGGATAAGTGTCAAGGTTGTTTTTGTGTAAGCCACACTATTATCTCATTGCGTTAATGGGAGCTTTACTGCCGAACGTCTGCTTATCTCTTAGAAATGGAGTTGTCCTGTAGATCACAACTGATTCCACTTGCTCTGAAAACAAAGACAGACATTTTCAGATACTATCATGAGGCATTCAACAGAAGCTTGCCATTAAAAATGAACTTCAGTTTCCATGGCAATTTATGTTAAGCAGCAGAAAGGACATAAGTCTAAATGTTACTATACAACAGGTAGCTCCAGCCCTCTAACATGATTCTCTGGGTCTTGTAATCATTTTAGTAGTTATTAGAAGTAAATTGGTTTGATATTTCTGTAATATAATATATGCTTTTCAAGTGGTGTTGGAAATACCATAATTACGAGTTCCACGCAACAAGTATAGATGATAAACGAGTTGCCAAGTTGAGAGACGTTGGAAGGGGCATGTTGATTTGAAATATGCTGGAAGCACAAATATATATAGTCAGTATCCATGCGTCAAGCACTCAACTTTCACGGTTTGCTTAACATTCAGTTGTGATACCATGCATAAATAAGTGAAAGATGAAGCTATGCATCATAAAGCGTAGTTATTTGGCTGTTTTATTTCCATCTTAAATGTGTGGCATGTTACAAAAACCAAAGCCAGATTTGGAGGTTCCCACGTGCACTTGAAGGCAGCAATTGATACCGCAAAAATAGTAAGAGTGCTATGCAACTACTAGTATACTATTTTGACACCACCTTGCTCTGAATGGTGTTTCTCGCACTAGCAAGTCAAAAATAGAAAACGTAGAGCTGGAGTCCAGCGATTACAGTAGCTGAGTCTAAAATTGCATACTGTCTAGTAAGTGCTACAGTTGGTTTGAACGAAGGTTACTTCGCGAAAGAATGTTTTATATAGTAAGAATATGGGTAGTATAAATGAAATTCAGACACATTACAGTACAGTCCTCTAGCTTGTGCATGTAGTCCTCTAGTGCACTCTAGCTTGTGTGATTGATTGTAGGAATTGAATGAGGAATCTTAGCTTTTTTCGTAGTACTACACCACCCATAAATAAATACATGGACTTTTGGTTTAGCCTTACAAATGGTAAACATTTAAGAGAGGGTATTTATAGTGAGGACGTTCAAACATACATTATGGCCCAACACTTTTTAAATCTTGTTTATTTGAACGTCTTGTTTGGACTATCATGCTTTGGTTAAACACAAGTAGATTGGAGTCAAATAAAATGCCATTATATCAAAGCATGTGAATTTACATGCACCAAAAACATACATTTCGTCACAGAGACACTTTTAGCGGTGAGCATGACAATGTGACACCTGTACAAGGGTTTGCTCTTGATTACAGTGCCTCATCAAGCGGTTCATGCTCAAAACGCCGGTCGTATCTTTAACATTATGCAGTATTTTTATATATTGATGAAACAAATGTGTGCACATACCGTGAGGGTCTTTTTATCATTCCGATCCATGATCCTCGCTTGGATCCGAAAGCTTCTCTGTGTCAAGGCGGGTTGGGTCGAGTCGAGTCGTTATCTTCACGATAAACGGTGAGTCCACCCTCACCGCCTAAGTAAACATAAAGAAAACTGGACACGCGGATAGTAAACACAATGATACAGCACTAGGTGCTTTCGTTATCCTTGTTAACGATAGAATTCGCGTCACATTCCACGGTAAATATCGCGAAGTGCGCACGGTGTTTCAGCCCAGGCCTGATCCGCTTGATGCCGTGGCAGCGTCTCTGAACCGGAGAACGATATCGAGAGCCGATACAATAATGAAAGTAAACAAGGGTGTATCGCAGCTGCTGGCTGATCCTCTCTGTCCTAATTTAATGAAAAATCACGCCGGCCTGCGCTGGACGAGTGCTGCGCCGTTTTCCCTCAGTAAAGGCATTCAGCTGGCAGCCGTGTAGCGGACCGATCCCGTCCTGCCGCTGCTGCATCGCCTTGTCGGTGCCTCGGGATCAATCGGCGCCATAGACCATAAATCCACAATTAATGCCTGAAAGCTGCCAAGTTCACGTTCATGTCTGTGCTTCTATACACTGAGGCATTTGCGATTACCACCACCGCCTCCCTAACGTCTTGGTTCCTCCTTTATTTCTGTAGCCGTGTGCGCCGCCAGCCTCCAATATCCAGGATGTTGTTACTGCAACAGCTACTCCTCCTCCTCTCAGTCCTCCAACATCCAGTCAGCTGCCGTTTGGTAAAGCCAGGGAGCGTCGCTCAAGTACGAGTCTCGATAAGCAACGCAAAATTAATGGCGGTCAATTATGGACAGTAGAGACAAAAAAACATTTATAGTAGCTCCTAATTAGGCTAATATGAACTTGTCGCATCTTTTCCACCTTTTTGTCTTCTTTATCGTTATTTTTCTGCGTTTCTGTATGTTTGTGTTTTCTCAATTTTTGTGCTCAATTTGACGTTTTAAAACATTTACATCAGAATCAGAATCTCCTGGTACATACATACATGCATACATACATACATACATACATACATACATACATACATACATACATACATACATACATACATACATACATACATACATACATACATACATATCTGACATGAGAACAGAAAAAAAAAAAAAAACATTTAAATAGTAAAAACTTAACAATAAATAATGTGCATGAATCTGGAACAGTAGATTTATGTACAGATTTGTGCATTATTTACTCTATATAGAACTGTATAAATAAAGAGATATGCATATGTATTTACATAAAATACATAGGCATTAGCTTAGTTGTTGTTTAGATATCTGAACTGTTACTATAGTGAACTTGCCATTAGAAAATTCCCATTACTTGAAATGAAACGAACATTAAATGAGATCAAATAAAAATGTTCGTTAAGTTTAAGATGATGTATTAAAATAACTAAAACTAAATAAACTAAAACTTTATAAAAACTATATAGACTTAAAAAAACTGATAAAATATGACAAAACATAGCACAAATAAAATAAATGACAATACACAAAATTACTAAAACGTTAATTAAAATGAAAACAGAAGATAAAAAAATCTAATTGAATTTAAAATAAAAACTATAGGGTGAATTCAGGTAAAGTGGGCCATTTAAGTTTGATTGTACTGTGCTCAATGGATTTACACTTTCAGAGCTTAACAATAGTTCTTACTTAAAGAGACACTATTTCTCTAAATGATAAAATAGTTTTGGTTGATGCAATATAACACTGGTGGGTGTGGCCACACCTCAAAGGAGGACTGTGTCATTTCTAAATTATAAGGTTGCTCACATAATGGAAACAAATATTATTGGGACAGGTCCTGCTGTTTTTGTTTCCACGGTTAACAGGGAATAAAATTCAAAGAACAAAATGTTTAAAAATGTGTTAGTTTTCTTGTAAGGTGTTTAAATATTGCTGACCCACTTTGGCTGAATGTGTTAGATAAAGTGGGCCGGTAGGATTCAGGTAAAGTGGGCTGATCTTTAACCTTCTGTAATTATACTGAAATTTACTAAATAAATTGACATTCACTGATTATTTTATGTTTGACATGTATAATTTACTTTTTTAGAAAACAGAAATTAGTCTGCAGTCAGGAAATTCAAGTCAGAGATGGAAGAAAGGAAAGAGAGAATAGAAAGGAAGTCAAGGCATGAATTTCAATCTGTGGAGTGAAGAAAGGATGAGAGGAGCAAAATGTAGATGCAGAATATAAAGCTTTAAAATATGGACACATTTAAAAAGTTAATTCAAAGGGTTTTATAGAACAGACAGAAGAATATTTTTACATATGGTTACCATTTTAAATGTTCCTCTTATTACTTTTTTAGACTATTTGTTGTCGCTTGTGTTATGGTCACATTTTTTACATATTGTAGAGTTCATTTGATCAATATTCCGATTTCTGAATATTATGATATTTAGATTTAATCAAATTGAATGTCAACACAACATGTTCTTTCAGTTGTTTGGAATTCACAAATGAATTCAGATGAGGATTTACACATGATTTATTTTACTCATAACCTGTGGGTTATATATTTTTGGATTTGTTAAATATGTTGTTAAATATGTTTTGTCTGATAATATGTGTTAATAAATTATTTGTTTTTAATTAAGATGCAGAATCATTTTTGATAAATAAGGGATGGCTCACTTTTTTGTCTGGAGTACATAACCTCAAAATGTTTATTGGTACATATCTTGCAAATAACACTTTATATAGACTCTATTCAAATTGAAATATTATAGCTGGACCTTAACAAAAGTAAAAAACAAAGAAAAGAAAAAAAAACATCTAGGTATCTAAATTATACTTTTTACAAAAAGTGGCCCCCTTTTTTTCCCTGAATTCACCCAGTAGTATATCAATGATACCAAAATAACACTGGTTCACAGTAACATAGTTTTTGCAAAGAAAAATGCAAAGAAAAAATATGAAAGGTCAAGATGATTACTTGCAACCATAATTTTAATTGTTTAAATAATGTTAAATAAAATAATAATAATAAGGTTTCATCTTCTGGTTTATTTAGGTATAATGACTGGCTGGTTGTACATATTACTAAATGTCAAAATGATCAAGTTGTTTTACAACATTCATTAATGAGGCATTTTTAATTGCAATTTTAGAAATGGTTTGCATATACTGTAACTGAATGTGTTCAATTTAAAGCAATCTTAAGGATAATTTACATATAGCAAAGGGTCTGACTACTTAGGACCATGTGATATTTCAGTTTTTCTTTTTTAATAAATCTGCAAAAATGTCAACAATTCTGTGTTTTTCTGTCAATATGGGGTGCTGTGTGTACATTAATGAGGAAAAAAAATTAACTTAAATGATTTTAGCAAATGGCTGCAATATAACAAAGAGTGAAAAATTTAAGAGGGTCTGAATACTTTCCGTACCCACTGTATATGTTAAACCTAAGATGAAACAATCTAGAGATGATTTGCATTTAATCAAATATACATTAAACTTTAGAGGATGCTGTCTTGGGTTTGAATATAAAATAGTTTGCACCCTCATATATCATGGATCCATCAAAGGACATTTTCACATTCTGCTGAGCAGCCCAAAAAAATGAGGCCATTTAGATCTTTCTGTGACTTAGTCCTTGAGCTGCCATAAGTGTAGTTGTTTTCTCTTGATTTAATGATGATTTACCAGAATAACCTACAGCGAGTGTCAGTGCTGTTGAAGGTTGTGGAGAAGAAATCATGTATGTGTGAGTCATAGTCAAGAAAGCAGTGGCCAAGGGAGTGGATCTGCTGTCAGTCAGTTTAAGAGGCACACATTTGACACCCTAACAGAAGTCACTGTCAGAAAGAAGGAATTTTGCTTTGCTGAGTTTCTCAGTTTTCTGTGAGAATATGACACGGATCACTGGCCAAAAGAAGAATCACCTTAAACCTCAGACCATATACAACAAAACAGACTGGAGTAAGAGAAAATAATTCACCACAAACCTCTGTGAAGGCAAAACGAGGACGAAAATACAGGAACAAGGAAAGGGAACGGGTGATTGAAGGGTTTATCTGTTACTTTAAGAGCAGTAGAGGTGAGACCATCCTCCAGTGGGCCTGTATAATGAGTCAGGATGTGCTTTGAGACTTTAAACAGAGGAATGGTGAACGATGACAGTTTAAACCCAGCAAGCAAATGAATGGGATACAGCTTCAACCTTGAGAAGTCCAGGCAAGGGCGAGTTGAATGGCTTTGCAGGACGAAAGCGTTTGTCAATTGCATATTCTTTCACATACAGGAAATAACATACAGGTGGAGGAGCCAAGAAAAAGGGATATTTAGGAATTTTAAAATTAACATTTTTTTAATTGAATTTAACCAATTTGGGG